CTTATCCAGATTCTCAGAGGAAAGACTTGGCCCCGTTGCAGCCCTTCGTGGCCCCCTCGCTTTGTTTCGTGGCCCCGTTGCAGCCCCTGGTGGCCTCCTCGTTACGCTTCGTGGCCCCGTTGCAGCCCTTCGTGGCCCCCTCGCTTTGTTTCGTGGCCCCGTTGCAGCCCTTCGTGGCCCCCTCGCTGCCCTTCGTGGCCCCGTTGCAGCCCTTCGTGGCCCCGTTGCAGCCCTTCGTGGCCCCGTTGCAGCTTTTCGTGGCCCCCTCGCTTTGTTTCGTGGCCCCATATATGTATGCCTTTGTGGCCCCCGCTCGTTCGCGCCCGTGGTGGCCCCATATCCATGCCCTTCGTGGCCCCGCTGTCGCCCTTCGTGGCCCCCTCGCTGCCCTTCGTGTCCCCGTTGCTGCCCTCAGTGGCCCCGTCCGTACCTTCCGCGGCCCAACATACGTATGCCCTTCATGGCCCTCGCTCGTTCGCGCCCGTTGTGGCCCCATGTGCATGCCTTTCGTGGCTCCGCTGTCGCCGTTTGTGGCCCCCTCATTGTCCTACGTGGCCCCGTTGCTGCCCTCAGTGGCCCCATCGTTGCTTTCTTTGGCCCCGCATTATTTGCCCTTCGTGGCCCACGCTCGTTCGCGCTCTTCGTGGCCCCATACGCATTCCCTTCGTGTCCCCGCTGTCGCCCTTCGTGGCCTACTTCGTGTCCTTCGTGGCTCTGCTGTCGTTCTCTCTCGCTCTCGCTTTCGCTCGTCGTCGCCGTCGCCGTCGTTGCCGTCGTCGTCGACGTCGTCGTCGTCGTCGTCGTCGTCGTCGTCGTGGTCGGTCCCCTGTCCGTCCCCCTTGGGGTCGGGTCGACGGTCCGCGGCCGCGACGCCGATCAGCGCTGCCGCTGGCCAGGCCGACGGTCCGCGGCCGCCCCGCCGCTTGCCGGGGCCCGGCCTGCAGGGAAGAAAGGTACCCCCCCCAAAAGGTGTTCGATCGAAGACGAGAAGGGCGGGTATCGAAGGACTGGGAAATTCGCGTTATTCGACACTCGAGCAGATAAGGGCGAACAGTCTTAACATGATTGTTGTTGTTGTTGTTGTTGTTGTTGTTGTTGTTGTTGTTGTTGTTGTTGTTGTTGTTGTTAACGCTTCATGTATGACAAATGATTATGGTCGATCCCCCAACAGCGCATACTTATTGTTTTTCTCAATCAAAGTGTGCCCCTCGACGCTCGCACTTCTTCTTAAACCAGGGAAAGTCTTGAGGCTCAAGCTGGGCCCCTGGCCCCCAGGTTACAAGAACAACGGTTCAATTTGGCCAGGACCCCTGCTCCCGCCCGAGACTTCCTCGCATTTTGTTCAGGAGTCGTGCTCTCGCTGAGATTTCCTTATCATTTATGCAGGAATCGCTCCCTGGGCGGTCTGGAGTCGCGCTTTCGCTGGAGACTTGCTTACAATTTACTGGAGATTCCCGCCCTTTGCGTTGGAGTTTCTTGCAATTTACTCAAGCGCCGCGCTCCCGACACCCAGGAACCCAGGAGTCGCGCTCACGCTTAGGACTCCCTCACATATTACCTAGGAATCGGGATCTCACTGCCCTTCGTAGCCCCGTGGCAGCCCTTCGTGGCCCCCTCGCTTTGTTTCGTGGCCCCGTTGCAGCCCTTCGTGGCCCCCTCGCTGCCATTCGTGGCCCCGTTGCAGCCCCTCGTGGCCTCCGCGCTGCCATTCGTGGCCTCGTTGCAACCCTTCGTGGCTTCCTCGATGCCTTCCGTGGCCTCCGTTGCATCCCTTCGCGGCCCCGTGGCAGCCCTTCGTGGCCCCCTCGCTTTGTTTCGTGGCCTCGTTGCTGCCCCTCGTGGCCTCCTCGCTGCCATTCGTGGCCCCGTTGCAGCCCTTCGTGGCATCCTCGCTGCCCTTCGTGGCCCCGTTGCAGCCCTTCGTGGCCCCCTCGCTGCCCTTCGTGGCCCCGTTGCATCCCTTCGTGGCCCCCTCGCTGCCCTTCGTGGCTCCCTCGCTGCCCTTCGTGGCCCCGTTGCAGCCCTTCGTGGCCCCCTCGCTGCCCTTCGTGGCTCCCTCGCTGCCCTTCGCGGCCCCGTTGCAGCCCCTCGTGGCCCCCTCGCTTTGTTTCGTGGCCCCGTTGCTGCCCTTCGTGGCCCCCTCGCTGCCCTTCGTGGCCCCATATCTGTATGCCCTTCGTGGCCCCCGCTCGTTCGCGCCCGTGGTGGCCCCATATGCATGCCCTTCGTGGCCCCGTTGCATCCCTTCGTGGCCCCCGCTCGTTCGCGCCCGTTGTGGCCCCATGTGCATGCCTTTCGTGGCTCCGCTGTCGCCGTTTGTGGCCCCCTCATTGTCCTACGTGGCCCCGTTGCTGCCCTCAGTGGCCCCATCGTTGCTTTCTGTGGCCCCGCATTATCTGCCCTTCGTGGCCCCCGCTCGTTCGCGCTATTCGTGGCCTCATACGCCTTCCCTTCATGTCCCCGCTGTCGCCCTTCGTGGCCTACTTCGTGTCCTTTTGGCCCTGCTGTCGTTCTCTCTCGCTCTCGTTTTCGCTCGTCGTCGTCGTCGTCGCCGTCGTCGTCGTCGTCGCCGTCGTCGTCGTCGTCGTCGCCGTCGTCGTCGTCGTCGACGTCGGTCCCCTGTCCGTGCCTTTTGGCGTCGGGTCGACGGTCCGCGGCCGCCCCGCCGATTAGCGCTGCCGCTGGCCAGGCCGACGGTCCGCGGCCGCCCCGCCGCTTGCCGGGGCCCGGCCTGCAGGGAAGAAAGGTATCCCCCCCAAAAGGGCTTCGATCGAAGTCGACAAGGGCGGGTATCGAGGGTGTGGGAAATACGCGTTATTGGACACTCGGGCATATAGGGGCGAACAGTCTTAACATGCTTGTTGTTGTTGTTGGTGTTGTTGTTGTTGTTGAACATTATTAATTCTAAAGAATAATTATTGTTGGGCCCCCTGGTGCACGCCCCCCCCGCCGCGCCTAGGCCGCAGCTACATTTTCATCATTTTCGTGAGGAAGCCTCAGGTAAAACGATGTGATCCAGATCCGGTTGTTTTGTTAATCCGCTTTCCCTTGCAAAAAACACTATAAAATGACATTTCTTGTTCTAATATAATCAAATTTCAAGAATCCCTTGCAAAAAATAAGGTAAAGTGGACATTCGCGCGCGCAAGACGAAATCCTTCCAAAAGCTTAGTGTTCGGAAGCGATTTTAACATAAAAACATCAAAAAACCAATGGTTTTTCAACAAAAAAATGTCAAAATCTCATCCCGCGCGCTCTTGCGGATTCGTAGGAAAACCAACACTTTTTAAACATTTCTGTCAAACGGGCTTTTGCGAGCAACTTTTTCGAACTTCTGCGACAACGGTTGCGCACCTGCCAGGGCCATCATCCCTGTCAAATAATACCATGCGGGACACATTCGTTTTTTCTTCGCGCGCGCACGCCGTCGTCGTTGGCCGCGGGGCCCTGAATAGTAGCCACGGTCGTCCGCATGCCACGAAGTGAAGTGTCCCAACGTCATAGGGCGGGAAGCTGGGTTTGGGTGGTCGCGAAGAGTCGTTTGGATATTTGGTAGAGCTTGTAATGCCCCCCCACGAAGTGGGGGTATTGCCTGGTGTCGTATGAAAACCCTGGCACTGGGGAGAACACCGCGCGTTCGGGTAAAATGATTGTTGCTGTTGTTGTTGCTGTTGTTGTTGTTGTTGTTGTTGTTGTTGTTATGGTTGTTGTTATGGTTGTTGTTATTGCTGTTGTTGTTGTCGTTGTTGTTGAGTTCTCATATATGAAGAATAAGTATGGTCGATCCCCCACCGGTGCATACTGTTTTTTTCTCAATCAAAGTGTGTCCCTCTATGCTCGCACTCGGTTTTTGTCGGGGAAAGTCTTGAAGCTCAAATTAACCCCCAGGCCCCCAGGTTACAACAACAGCGGCTCCAGCCTGAGACTTCCTCACAATTTAGCCGGGACCCCCGCTCCCGCCCGAGACTTCCTCGTATTTTATTCAGGAATCGTGCTCTCGCTTGGGACTTTCTTACAATCTATACCGGAATCGCTCACCCGGCGGTCTGGAGTCGCGCTCTCGCTGGAGACTTGCTGACAATTTACTGAAGAATAGCGCCCTTGCGTTGGAATTTCTTGCAACTTAATCAAGCGCCGCGCTCCCGACACCGAGGCGCCCAGGAGTCGCGTTCACGCTTAGGACTCCCTCACAGATTACCTAGGAATCGGGATCTCACTGCCCTTCGTAGCCCCGTGGCAGCCCTTCGTGGCCCCCTCGCTTTGTTTCGTGGCCCCGTTGCAGCCCTTCGTGGCCCCCTCGCTGCCATTCGTGGCCCCGTTGCAGCCCCTCGTGGCCTCCGCGCTGCCATTCGTGGCCTCGTTGCAACCCTTCGTGGTTTCCTCGATGCCTTCCGTGGCCCCGTTGCATCCCTTCGTGGCCCCCTCGCTGCCCTCCGCGGCACCGTCGCAGCTCGTCGTGGCCCCGTTGCAGCCCTTCGTGGCCCCCTCGCTTTGTTTCGTGGCCCCGTTGCATCCCTTCGTGGCCCCCTCGTTGCCCTTGAGGCCCCATGTATGTATGCCCTTCGTGGCCCCCGCTCGTTCGCGCCCGTGGTGGCCCCACATGCATGCCGTGCGTGGCCCCGCTGTCGCCCTTTGTGGCCCCCTCGCTGCCCTTCGTGGCCCCGTTGCTGCCCTCAGTGGCCCCGTCCTTGCCCTTCGCGGCCCAGTATAACTACGTATGCCCTTCGTGGCCCCCGCTCGTTCGCGCCCTTTGTGGCCCCATGTGCATGCCTTTCGTGGCCCCGCTGTCGCCGTTTGTGGCCCCCTCACTGTCCTACGTGGCCCAATTGGTACCCTCAGTGGCCCCATCGTTGCCTTCTGTGGCCTTGCATTATCTGCCCTTTGTGTTCCCCGCTCGTTCGCGCTCTTCGTGGCCCCATAGCAGTGCACGGTATTGTTCATTGCATGCGTCCGCTTCACTCGCTCTGTAGCCATCGTTTCTGTTCAGAGCTTCGCTTGTTATGGCAGGGCTCGCGTACGGCCTCGCCCCAGTAGTCCGCGATTGGGCTGCAACAGGTCTGTACGCCGCCAACCTCTGGACATCTCTCCGCAGGGATCGCCACTGCACGTGCAGCTTCACAGGAAAGCACGACAGAGAGCTGCTGCAGGTCCTGCAGCGACAACTTGACAGGTGTGGCCCTGAGCAGCTTCGCAGCGCCCCTTTGGAGTGTCCCTCGAGCTTCTGGGAGATCGCCTCAGTCTTGTGCCTCGCTGTGGGGGCCGCGTTCATCATTGGCTTCCTCGTCGGCCGGTTCCATGGCCATGGTCCCGCGAAGGTTGCCAGCCCTGCTGAAGACGGCCCGCCAGGGGGACAAGCTATATTGTCTGCGCAGCCTGGAGGACCGTCGGTTCCACGAGAGGCTTCTGTGCGGCCACGTGGACGGCTCACGGTTGGAGGTGGCGACGCCTGATGCTGACGTGTACGCGGATGACTTCGCTGACGAGAACCACGTGGAGATCCACCGAGCTGGCCCTCGAGGGGGAGTCCCGCATCAGCTGCGCAAAAAGATGCTGTACCAGCTCGGCCTGGACGAGCAGGCTCGGGCCGCCCTCCTCGCGGATGCCGGCGGTGGACCCCTGCCGCCAGTGCAGCTGGATGACGACTGGGTCGCCCTGGAGTCGCGACGGGGTTTCAGGCGGGGCTCGTCAGTGGGCGTCACGTTCGCCTTCGTCTACGCCCTGGACGACCGCGACAGGGCCTCGTTCATGGAGGAGGTCATCGTGCTGGAACGAGTGGAAACCCTCTCCGAGGAGGCGCCGCCTGCTCCACGGGACGCACTGGGTGATGTCCCGGACGAGCGCATCCTGAGGTACTGGAGGGGCGGTGCGGTCCAGCGGCGGCACGCCTTCTCGGAGGTGGCTGCCGAGCAACGCGAGGTGCTCAGGACGCAGGAGTGGCGCGTGCAAGGGCCCGCTACCATCGACTGGCTGCTTCAGGCGCATCTGGAGCAGGGTAGCGGGCTTGTCCAGCGGCACTACTGGTGGAGGCAGATCCGGGGGCTGGCGGCTGCTGACCCCGGGATCGACGCGCATTTGCTCCTGTGCGGGCTGATCGAGACGGCCCCCACGGCCGACCAGCTCAACCTCCCCGGCTGCGAGGCGTCCGAGCTGGCAGCCAGGCGATTCCAGCTGTGGGACGAGGTGTACTCCGAGGCCCTGCGCCAGGTCGAGGTCTCAAGCATGGCGGGGGCCACGGACGGCTGGCTGGACGCGCGCAGGATCGTCCTCAGCGGCTCCCGCTCCAAGGGCCATGCTCTCGTGGCGCCACCCTTGGAGGCGCACGTGGTGGAGAAGATGCAGGAGGAGGGCGCCATCCTCAAGGAGAGGCGCCAGGGCAGAGAGGAGCGCCGCATGGCCCGCGGCGGGGACAGCAGCGGCGCCGACGCCGCACCAGGAGGTGGCGATCAAGGTGGTGGCGGCGGCGGCGCAGGCGGCGACGGCCCTGGCGGCCGAGGCCGAGGTGCCCGCGGCCGCGGGCGGGCCTAGCCCGCCGCTCGTTTTTCGGCTTGTGCGCGGCCGCTGCAGCCCCCCGGGCAGCGGGCGCTTTCACAGGGGAGGGCCGCCACTGCGGTGGTGATGGCGGCCTCGGCGCAAGGAGTCTCGGACACTGGCATCGCGCGCGACGTCCTGCCCCTCCCGCTGGGCGTGGCGCTCGACGAGCTGCTGCACGGTGCGGCGGCACGCCTTCTGCCGCACGGCGGCGGTCGGCGCGGGCGGCAGCGCAGGCAGCAGGAGGTCTGGCTGCGCGAGGGCATCGCTGCGCTGAACGACCTCGGTGGGCGCGGGATGGACGCCCCCGCGGGGGTCCCTGCGGCCCGCCAGGTCACCGCCGTGCGGCGCCTCGCACAGCTCTACGGCAGGGTGGAGCCGCCGCCGTCCGACCTGACTCCCCTGGGGGCGTGGCAGACGCTCCAGGCTTCGTGGAATGGTTATGCAGACGTCATGGCCGAAGGTGCTTCGACAACCTACAGGAAGGGGGCCATGGCGCTCCCGCGGGCTGCGGCGGGGCGGGTACGGCTTGCTGACGTCCTGCCGCCGCACCTGCAGTCTCTCTTGTGTAACTCGTCGCAGATGTTACGAGAGCCGGAGGCTCGCAATTTTGCTTTGGGTGAGGCTCCCAGGGTCTGCGCCATGGGCCCAGTGTTGCAGCGGCATGGCTACCAGTATGGCGAGTGCCTCTCCGAGCTGCTCTCTGCGGGCATCATTGAGCCTGCGGCCGAGGACAGCATCATCGAGCGCGCTGGCATCTTTTTCGTCCCAAAGAAGGACTCGTCGCTGCGGCTGATCTTCGATACCAGAAGGTCTAATGCCCATTTCCAGGACCCCCCTACACGCTGCTCGCGAGCGGGGAGGCTCTGGCGAATTTGGAGGTCAACGCTGCTGGAGGGATTGCTGTGGCCTCTGGTGACGTCGAGTGCTGCTTCTACCAGTACGAGCTGCCGCCGTGGGCACGTGCCTTCTTCGGTCTGCCAGCGGTCCAAGCCCGTTTCTTGGATTCGGCAGCCCGCCAGCGCCTGGGGGTTTCAGACTCTTCGGAGATGATCCACTTCGTCGCCAGAGTGGTCCCCATGGGCTGGTCGTGGGCCGTGCACCTCATACAAGAGGCCCATGCCCATGTCCTGAGCAGCATCAGCCCGGACGCGCCCTGGATCGCAGACAAGGCGCCCGCGCCTGCGCCGGGGACTCAGTGCGCCACCGCCAAGATGCTATACATCGACAACGTCGCAGTCTTCGCGTCAGGCAGCGGCGACCCCGCGCTGGAGGTGGAGCGCATGCTGGCCGCCCTGGGCGCGCGGGGGATTCAGGCTTCCTTTGACCGCGACGATGGGGGCATGCACGCCCTGCTCGGCTTCGTGCTCCACAAGCCCTCGGCCACGTGGCGTCTGTCGCACAGCAAGTTTTGGCGGCTGAAGTTTAGCCTCGATTTTGCACTGGCACCTGGACGTCTTGTCACGGGGCGCGAGCTCGAGAGGCTGATGGGCCATATCACCGCGGCTGTCATGCTGCAGCGGCACATGCTCTCACTCTTCCATGCGATCTACGAGTTTTGCAGGCGGTCGCGCGACAAGCGGCAGCCTCTCTGGTCGTCGGTGAAGCGGGAGCTCACGTGGTTCAGAGCGCTGCTTCCTTGCGTGACCGTTTCGCTGAGCCGCCCCTGGTGCGAACGGGTCACCGCCGCGGACGCCTCCCCATGGGGGTTCGGAGTGGTGGAGCAGCCGTGGCCCATCAGTGATGTTCGGCGAGTTGGCAGTCTTTCGGAGCGCAGTCGCTTCAGAGGAGTCCCGACGGCGGATTATGCCCCCAGGGACACGCTGGTCGAGCAGCAGCTCCTCCACGCCACGGCGGACGAGGTCACCGCGGAGGGCACCCTGACCCACTTTGAGGAGGTGCCGGCAGCGCGGCTCTTGGCAGACCCGTGGTCGGTCGCGGCCGCCCGTCGCTGGCGGCGGGCCGCAGCCATCCACGTCTTGGAGGCTGAGGGGGCGCGCTGGGCCGTTCGGCGCCTCGCGCGCAACTCGCAGCTGCATGGGCATCGGCACCTCGTCCTGGGTGACAACCTCGGGGTGGTCTGTGCGTGCGAAAAGGGCAGAGCTGCGCACTTTGCACTCAACGTCGTCTGTCGGGAGATCTGCGCTATCTCAGTCGCCTCTGGGATGCAGCTCAGGTTCAGGTGGATCCCATCAGAGCTCAAACCTGGTGACGCTCCCTCTCGCAGGTTCATGCCAGGCGCGAGGAAGCACCATGTTGTCGGACAGTGCAGCACACTTCCAGGTCTGGAGGAGATCGGCACACATCACGCTGGGCCTCTGTCCGGAGACATCGGCTCGAGGGAACGCTACCATGCCAGCGACGATCTACTCGGTCATCCCCGCCTACGGCAAGCGCGCCCGCGATGCAGCGGAGCCCAAGCCGGCGCCGACCACCCGGCGCGCCTCCGATTGGCGCGGCGGGCACGGGCCGCCAGGCCCTTCGGGCTCCCGCCGGGGCTGGACATCCCATGCGCCGCTGAGCGACAGGCCCGCAGAGGGCTGCGCGCGGCGGGTGCCGCTGTGTCGGCGGCGCTCGCGACTGGCGGCGCGTTGGGTGCAACACATCACCGTGCGTTCGTACCTGCTGGTGCTGATCATGCGCTCGGGCTCGCCGCGGCTGCTGGCGCTGCCAGGCTGGATCCCCGCGCAGTCGGACGAGACGCTGGTGGACTACCCCGAGTGGGCGTTCGACCGCGGCACGGGTCAGGAGGCGTCCTCTCGCACCCACTGCGCCGTGGCTGGGGGCGCGCCCGCGCTGGGAAGGCCCGCTCGGCGCCGCCATCCCCCGGTGAACGCGTCGCTGTCAGGCGGGGCGCAGCGCCCGTCGGGCCACTCCCGCCAGCCGCTGCCGCGGGCGCCTGCGCGCGCGTTGGCGGCCGTGCTGGCCTCGCGGGAGAAGCCAGACCCGGGGCGGTGCGTCTTGGTGGCGTACGACCGAGCCCGTCGGGGACCACGACCTTGCTGTCCATGCAGTTTCTGCCGGGCGGGCGCAGAGTGGTCGGAGGGCGGCAGCAACCCCTCCTGCTACGGCACCCAGAGGGACTTACTGCCAGCTCCAGGACGGGCGAATTCGACTCCACAGTGGGACCCGACATTCATCGACGTCACTGGATTGGGCGCGCGGTCGCGCCGCTGCAACTGCTTCGTCTCGGAGAGAAGCTGCTGTGCGTGAGCTCGCACCTGCAGTGCCTGGCCGACTTCCACGTTGCTTGTCAATACCTCAAGCTCAAAGGTTTGGACTGCTCGCCACACTTCCGAGGGAGCGGCGACGCGACACGCGTCTGCGTTGCAGGGTACCGCGCACCGCTGGAGGTGCGGAGGCGAGAAACGTGGAGGGCGACTCTACCAGCTCAGAGGTACGACAAGGCCAATTGGCGGGCGGTGGTCAAGCAGGCCCTCAGCAGCGCCCAGAGGAGGAGCTGCGAGATCCGGGCGGTGGCCGCCCCGCAGCTCTTCGTCATCGCCTACGTGCCGCCCTCCGCGCCGGACGCCTTGGCGAGCGGAGGGCGTTCCTGGATCTCTTCTCAGGCTCGGGTGGCCTCGTAGCCGAGCTAAAGAAAAGGGGACACGCTGTGGTTTCAATTGACGTTCTCCTGTGCCCAGAGTGCGACTTGCTGCAAGATGATGTTTTCCGCGCCCTTCGAGGCTGGCTTGAGTCTGGTATCATCTGGGGCATGTTTTCAGGCAGCCCTTGTGAAAAATGGTCACAGGCTCGCCGGGCTCCGCCTCGCAGTGTGATGCCTCGACGCTTGCGAACGAAGGAGCACCTGCGAGGCCTGCCTGGCCTGGAGGGCACCGACTATCACGATGTCGTCACCTCGAACAACTTGGCTGACAGAGTCGCACTCTTGCTAGGCATCGCCCTGAGACGACAGCTGCCAGCTGGAGAGGAAAATCCCGCATCTAGTCTGCTGCGGCTGCTCCCCAGCCGCCAGCGTTTTCACTCTCATGCAAATGTCCAGACTGTTGTCTTTGACTATTGCGGTGCTGGCCGTCCTTTTCGTGCGCGCACTCGTATGGCTCTCGCCAATATATCTGTTCCGCCAGAGCTTTACACATGGCATTGTAAAGGTAGGGGTGTTTGCACGTTTTCGGGCAAGCCGCACCTGGTTCTCTCTGGTAAGTCCAAGGCCGGCTTCTTTACTCATCTTAAAGCTTCCTACCCCCCGCGTCTGTGCTCCGTGCTCGCTCGAGAACTCTCTCACAGCTATTTGTCTCTGCGGGCGACCCGCCTGTGGAATTTGATGCGGTAATGCAGTACATTGCTTGAAGACGGGGTGTATTTATGAGGATGGGTTGTGTGGGATAAACTGCCCACATGACATGTTGTCTTCGCCTCAGCATTTCTCTGGAAAATAAGAATGAACATAGCAGTGCACGGTATTGTTCATTGCATGCGTCCGCTTCACTCGCTCTGTAGCCATCGCTTCTGCCCTCGCCAGCCCAAAGCCTCTTTAATTGTTACGTTCTCTGCGGGTTGTGTGGGACAAACTGCCCACATGACATGTTGTCTTCGCCTCAGCATTTCTCTGGAAAATAAGAATGAACATACGCATTCCCTTCGTGTCCCCGCTGTCGCCCTTCGTGGCCTACTTCGTGTCCTTCGTGGCTCTGCTGTCGTTCTCTCTCGTTTTCGCTCGTCGTCGTCGTCGTCGTCGTCGCCGTCGTCGTCGTCGTCGTCGCCGTCGTCGTCGTCGTCGCCGTCGTCGTCGACGTCGTCGTCCTCGTCGTCGTCGTGGTCGGTCCCCTGTCCGTCCCTCTTGGGGTCGGGTCGACGGTCCGCGGCCGCCCCGCCGATCAGCGCTGCCGCTGGCCAGGCCGACGGTCCGCGACCGCCCCGCCGCTTGCCGGGGCCCGGCCTGCAGGGAAGAACGGTATACACCCCAAAAGGTGTTCGATCGAAGACGAAGAGGGCGGGTATCGAGGGTTTGGGAAATACGCGTTGTTGGACACTCGGGCAGATAGGGGCGAGCAGGCTTAAACTGATTGGTGTTGTTGTTGTTGTTGTTGTTGGTGTTGTTGTTGTTGTTGTTGTTGTTGTTGTCGTTGTTGTTGTTGTTGATGTTATTGTTGTCGTGGTGCTGGGCGGTCTTATAGATAGCCGCCACACGTTCAGCAATGGTTGGACAGTATCGGGCAATTTTTTGAGCGACCTAAGCAAGGTGCCGTTCCAGCGCCCTTTTTCTACGATGGGAAGCGCTCCAGCAGCTCATCGTGCAAACAAGGCGTGGTTCAGAACTATCTTTTAGGAGGGACCACGTTCCAGCAGCTCACGGCGTACGTTCCAGCATCGAGTTTTGTACGGGACGGCATTCCAGCAACCCGCGCTGCAAACAAGGGGCCGCTCCAGCCCTCTGCTTCTACGAGGGGACAACGTTCCATCAGCCCACGGCGTGCGTTCCAGCGTTGCAGTTTAATTGAACGCGACCGTTTCGGCAGTCCACGGCGTGCGCTCCTGCACCGCATTTGTACAGGGCGCGGGCGCTCCAGAAGCCCAGGGCGTGCGCTCCAGCGCGTCATTTTTGTTGAGCCCAAGCGCTCCAGCTGCCCACGGCGCGTGCTCCAGCCCTGCATTCGGTAAGTACCGAGCGCAGGCCTTCGAGCAAACTAACGCAGAATATCCCACCTGATCAATTTCGTCCTCGCAAAATGTTCCCAAACGTGCAGGAAGGATGATGAGGAGGAGGATTATGAGGATGAAGATGAAGATGAAGATGATGGAGCATTGTGATGATGATGATGACGATGACGATGATGACGATGATGGTGATGATGATGACGATGATGATGACCACGAACGCTACTTTACTGTCAATTGCGGTTCGACGCCCAGCATTGCACTAGATGGCCCCGCCTGGCCACCTCAGCCCTCCTCTCCCTCCTGCGGCGGCAGCCGCGCAATGGCGCCAAGGATGGCAACTACGGCGGCTCGGTGGCGGCGCCAGGAGGCCACGCGTTGCCCAAGCGTGGTTGCCCGCGTCCACGTCAATCTGCCCGCATCCTCTCCCAGCCGGCCGCCGATGCCAATTGCAAAGGCCGCGACGCGATCTCCATACGCTGGCGCTTGGAACTTTCCGCGGCGCGAGTCGCCAAGTGCACGTCCGCGGCTGCCGCTCGAGCCTCGCCTTCCTGATGAGAGTGCACAGTGTCATCGAGCCACGTCCACGTCACGCCAGCTGGCCACCTCGAGCAGACGACGATGATGATGATGCTGATGATGATGATGATGATGATGATGATGATGATGATGATGATGATGATGGTGCTGATGATGATGACGAGGAGTAGGAGGAGGAGGAGGAGGAGGAGAGGGTGATGAATGCTGATAAAGAAGATACTGCTGGTGATGGCAATGGTGATTGTGTGGATGATGATGATGATGATGATGATGATGATGATGATGATGATGATGATGATGATGATGATGATGATGATGATGACTGTGATGATGATAACGATGATGGTGGTGGGTGATGGTGATGGTGATGGCGATGGTGATGGTGATGGTGATGATGATGCTGCCGATGATGGTGGTGATGAGGATGATGGGACTGATGGCGGTGACAATGATGCAGATGATGATGGTGGTGATGATGCTGATGATGCTGATGATGATGGTGATGATAGTGACGATCATGGTGGTGGTGATGATGATCATCATCATCATCATGATCATGATGATCATGATGATACTGCTGATGCTGATGACAATGGTGATGGTGTTGGTGATGATCGTGATGCGAAGAAGAAGAAGATGGTGAAAGTGGGGTACCCGAACTCTGGAGTAACCCCACACGAGTGAGAAATCAAGCCCCAGCGTCACGACCGTCCTGCAGAGGGTCGTGGTCCAGAGGATGTAGCCTTTCAGCCATGTCTGTACCCAGGACAACCAGCGCCATCTCAACGGCGGCAGTCAGGTTGGTCGCACGCTCGGTGGGGCTCTGGGAGTCAGAGTAGCACACGCACCGCGACTTGCTGAGACCCCTCGGTGCAGTAGACCACCAATGAAGGGGCAACCCATATCTTCTGGCAATACCAGCTCGTGAGAAATGATACGATGGGCACTCCGCCCAGTAGTGGTGAAAGGAGGGGGACGCTGCCCCGCACTGGCGGCAGGCCTTCCCCGAGCAGCGTCGCGTCTCAGAGGATACAGCTCCAGCACGAAAGATACGCACGAGCCTGCGATCATCCTCTCCCAGACGCTTGACGCTTGAAGAAGCGTTTGTACACCAGATTCGACTCCGCATCCACGCCCACGTCTAGGATCTCTTCAGCGTCGGAACGTTTGTCATTGACCTCGGCCAAACATCTGATCCTCGCCACACAGCGCAGCAAGTGTTCGATCTTCTTCTCATGACGTGGGTGATCAGGTCTGTGAGTCCAGGACCTCCTCTGGCCATCCACAATACCCTCCAGCACCCGAACCCCTCTGTGATCGTCAGTGTCGCTCACCTCGAGGCAGCAACCACGGCGATCCGCGTAGGCAGCAAAACGAAGGCCCAGCACCTGGGCATGCATGACCATCGCATTCTCCAGGAAGGTCGACCACACGAGGCGCTCCTGCGAGATGATTTTGAAGGCCTGCAGAGATCCCTCCAGGCGAGGATGTAGATGTACGTGTTGTGCCCTCCATCGTCCGTAGCACCACCAGCGATTGGTCGACCTGGTAATCGATTGGTACCGCGCTTTGCACGTCGAAACGGGAGGTGGCGCCAACAGGGGGCAAGCTCACAACCAAAGCGGGCGAATGTAAGCAACTGCGACCCGAGCACGGATCTCCGCACCTCCAGGTACTGTTCCGAGCACACGAATCGTTGTATGAAGCTTGTCCCAACTCCCTCGAGGCTGGATTGGGGTCGATGCAGCCGCTGGAGTCGCCACGATCCCTAGGTGTTCCACTGCCGTATGGGGGTTGATCCGAGCGAGCCCACAACTGACGCGCTCGCACGTTCTCCTTGGAACCGACGCCCCTGTCGAAGCGTTGGGTGTAGTCCAAATCCCTGGCCAGCTCCTGGGCCGAGGAAGAGGTGAGGGACCTGTCGTCCATAAAAGCGTAACCATCCGGCGGTTGCCACGGCCTATGCCGCAATCGTAGTAGCAGGGGCCACTGACTCACTTTGAGGGAGCCCTCGAGTAGGCCAAATCGGTGGCGCCAAAGGAGAGTTGACGCTGCAGTACCTGGGGGCTCTCCAGACCGCCACCGCAGTAAACGTCACCGCAGGCGGAACCCCTGAACATATGCATTCTTGAGCTCCCACGGCGTGATCTATATTGTCGTACGCTCTGCTGGGATCCACCTCGGCACCAGCCTCGGCGGCTTCACATGAGTGTAGCTAGCTGCTGATCGCATGGACGACGCTTGTCGCAAGCCGTCCTGCGAACTGGTTGTTTGGAGGCTGTCGCATCCCAGCAGACAAGGCAAACTCAGACCTGGATCGAGCCCGCTGAAATAGGACGAAATTCAACTTCACTTCTGGGAATTCCCGCAACACGCCAAGGACAGATCATGTCCAACGTGACCTGGTCCAGAATGCCCTGGGCGCCCACGCGCTCGCGGCTGGCGTCGCACCAGGACTCGTGCAACTGAACAATCTTGTCGGGGAAGAGCGTCGTAGAAGCTTGAGCTATTTGGCCGTCCATCTGTGCAGCCCAGGAGCACCGTGGCACTTCGCACGGATGTTATCAAAATGCTCAAAGCTCGGCAGCCAACGCTCCTCATGTGTCAACTGAGGGAAAGAAACATCATCGGCCCATTGTTGCCACCGAGTAAAGTGGCCGGCAGCGTCTTGTTGAGCAGGATCTGGGGCCCATTGCTGTTCCCATTCTTGGTGCATCTCTACTGCATCCGCTGGGGCAGTCGGCGAGGACGCCCCGAAGAGCGGTGTGGCAAGCTTGTAGATGTCCTTAGTCCAATTGGCGAATCGCTTTCGCCACTCTCGGGATTGGGCATCTTGAGTGCGCCGTTGTTGCTGCGAAATGCTTGCGCTCAGCAAGTCCAGGGCCTCGGCGTGGTTCGGGGTCCTGTAGAGCGGTACTGCGAAAAGCCCATCCCACCCTGCCCGTGCGAAACGTTCAAGAAGAGAGCCAGTCGTACTCTGGAATGCCAAAGTAGGTCGATGTAGTCGTAGCAGTCGGCGAAAGGGCGATAGTCTGGGCGAGCCGATGGGGGGCACCATGGCAGGTCGGCTACGTCGAAGGAGCCGACCCCTTGGCGCGCTCACCTTGCCGCTCCACCGAGGCGTAGTCGTGCTCAACGGCCAGCTTGAGTGCCAGCTCAGCGCGTGCGTGCTAGTGCTTCCGCTTGGCGGTCAAAGGGGCCTGTTCAGGATCACCCAGAGCAGGGTCGCCAAGTCCAGGCATCCTTGCATCCAGTTCAGCTCGAAGTGCATCCAGCTGATGTTGAAACTCAGGAAAACCTTTCGTCGTATGGAGCGCCGTGTGGCGCAGTCGGTGTTGAGGACTATGATACATCGGCTCCTGCAGCGCGCAGAAGACCATGCCGTGGAAGGGTGCCCCAGGAAGCATCTTCACGGCGAGGCACTTCGGCAAGTGCGGAACAGGCGGCCCATGGTAGAGACCTCGTAGGAGTGGTACCTGGCGTGGTAGTGGCAAGCGATGCTGGACACAAGACCCACCCAGGACTCATCGTATAAATGTACCGTGCTTCCCAGTTCAGGTTTCCGATGACATGCTATGGGCAGCCCTGAACAGCGAGATTCTGTGCGAAAGAGGAAAACCGCGTCCGCCAAGCTGGTCTTCATTGACAGGCCCGTGGACTGACGGGTAGATGCAGTTCGTCGCCTTGATGCCCGCGACCCTGTGGCCGACAGAGGGCTCACGGATGATCGAGATCTTCCCGGCCGCGTTTGGCTTCCACGCAATGGCGCGCCCCCCCTTGACGGACAGCGGCCGCGCGTGTTGGTGGCGGCGGCGGTGAACGGGCCACCGCCCAGCCCCATCGCTTGAAACATTGTTGAACCCATCGGGGACGCTCTTCACGTTGACGGAGTTCTTGAAGGAGCAAGAGTAAATTGTCAGAAGTATTGCGAAGCGCCTCCTCGAGGCGCGCCTTGGTTAGAGAAGTCGGATTCAAAGTGGCAGCGGTGGTGCTGATGTCCATGGGATCATGCGGCTGCGTCTCCTGGGAGTCGCCGCCTCCAACCAGTGGGTCCTCAGCTCGTAGACTGGAAGCTCGACGATGACAAGCGTGTCGAGCCGTGAAACATGTATAAGATAGTCAAGATGAGGAGGCCGCCGCCGCCGCGGGGCGCCTCCTCGCCAACCGTGGTGCTGGAACAGGAAGACTAGCTCGGCGCAGTGCAGCCCGTTTGCGCTCCCTGATCTTCCTGCCACTGAGGAACTCGCGTGCCCTGACCAACGCCCTGTGGGCGGGGTCCTGCATGCGCTCTGCCTTCTCCTGCTTCTGCCGCTCCTTGACCTCGGGCTTGTGGCGGGACTTGTGCACGATGGCGTCCGTGATCGCTTCCCCCCTCTTCCGCTCCTCGGGGCCAATGAGGAAGTCCAGCAGCTGGATCATGGTGACGCCTTCTTTGATCCTCTTCTTGCAGGGTCGTTCTCTGCCACGATGGATCGGTCTCGATATCCCACAGCGAGAGCACGCGTGTTCAGTTTGGAACTGAGTGGAGCGCCAGACCGTCGCCCCTGCCTCCTCAGACGTCTTGCAGATCATCAGCTGGAAGCGCGCGGGAATGTTGTCGCACCAGCCCTTGTACTTCTGCCAAGCGATGCGGCGCACCGCCCTCGCAGAAGCCCCAGCGGTGCGTCTGTTCCCTCCTCCAAAGGCCCCTGGGGGGGGGGGGCATGGGTAGGTGGAGGCTCGCCGACGCAATGGCGCCAGTGAGCTCGAGCTTGCTGAAGGCGTCGTGGATGGTTGTCGGCAGTCGATCTCCATCCACAACCTGGCGTAGGGTAACAGAGATGTGTTCCTGGGCCATCATACGCAGGGGCGGTTCAGTTTCGTCGGGGGGATCACCGGCCTCTGAGATGCCCAGGAAACTGTGCGCCCTCTTAGGCGTAGCTCCTTAAGACGATCGTGAAGACGTCGGGGTTCCCAGGAACGATCTGGCATCGCCCTCCATCTCCCCGACGCGCTTCCAACAGACTTGCCCCCACCACTCAGTCGGCCTCCTCCTGCGAAGACGTCGGGGCAAGGCAAGGTCTGCTCACGCCGCGTGGTATCTACTGCCGCCAGCAGCGCTGCAGTCACCTGGAGTAGCTTGTATTGCTTATTCTGGAGCCCCAACCACACCAGTGGGCGCTTGCTCTGTGGGGTTTTCGCCGTGGAAACTGCGTGCAGCACCCAGCGGTCGTCCGTCGCGTTGAACTTCCAGACATTGATGTCCACCCTGGCCGCTACGGCTGTGGCTCGGAGCGCGGCCGTTCTCGCCAGGCAGCCCGCCGCTGCCATGGCCTCGGCCATCTGCGCGGTGACCCCGTACTTCTTGGGATGTTTCTTCAACTCCGCGGCAACGAGGAGTCGAAGCTGTGCTTGAACTTTACCTCCTGGCTGATCGCCACCTGCAGCGAGGGGCTCGGGGGCGGCCGAAGCTTCGCGAAGAGCTCGGCCTACGCAGAGGAAGAAGCAGCCCCCCCCCCCCCCCCCTCGCATTCCACATCTTTGAAATGGTCCGCCCGGTAAGCTTTCACCGCGCGTCGGGCGCGCTGCTGGGGGGGTTCGTCTGCCGGCGATCCCAGCTGGCGGCCCTCCACTGGCGCCGTGCGAGGATCCTCGCCGGGCGCCTCTCCAGCTGTGGCTGGGCCAGGCAGGGTCGGTGCCGTATCCTCATCGTCGTGCTGCGTGGGTGGGAATCCCGCGCGCGGCTGCGCGGCCCCCCGGGATGAGGCAGGCTTCGAAGTCGGAGCCTTCTTCGTGTCGCCCGCATTGTTGCATGCCAGAGACGCCGAGATGCCGCCGGCGAAGGCGTATATCCTGTCGGCGCCCGTGCGGCTTGCAGCCAGGTCAGCTCTGAAGAACCAGCGATGACGACCAGCACGATGTACCTTGCTTATGCTGGTGAAGCCACGCTGCTTGGCCCACTCCTCCAGATCCTCGGGGCCATTCCAAGCGCCTGGTGTATTTAATGCGCACCACCTGGGGAGGATGTCCGTCATCATAGCCTTGTCCGAAAGAACTCCCAGGAGTGCATCTTCTGATGGGCGATAGCAAAGCCGCCCTGCAACTGTCTTAGCACTCGTCGTCGCACGCGTGATATATGCTTCGGCAGGTTCATCATCGCATTGCTTGAGCCACCGCGGGGCCAAGTTCGAGCCCTGGAGGTTCAAGAACACCCCCTTCGGGAGCTCGAAGTGCATGAACCGCTCAAGGGGGGATTTTATCAGACTGAGCAAGCATGTGAGCTCACTCTCGTAGTTGAATGCGTCCTTGACCTTCAGCACATGCTTCTGAAGGTCCGCATTGCAGATGAGTGCCGCCAGCGCGACTGGCCGCTGGGCAGCACGTGTGAAAAGATCTTCTGCAGCGTAGTCCCGAGGCACTGTGAGTCTCACCTGCGCCGTCTCGAGGGACACCGTCGTCTGGATAGGCATGTCACCTTGCACCCCAGCAGGAAGACCCACCCGCTTCGGCGGAGCTGCACCCAACTCCAGGACGAGGCAGCGCTGAGCCACCGTGCCTTTGCCTTGGGGGGGCCTCCACCAGCACATTGCCGAAGGCCGAGCCCTCCAGGATGCGCTGCACATTGAAGATGGGGATGGTGGCCGAGCGCCCGGTACCCCCAAGGGCGTCCAGCCACCTGCGTGTCGTGTCGTACTCCTTCTCATTCTGGTACACGATGAGGGGGGACGCTCGTACTTGCAATCTTGCGGCCTCTTCGCAGACCAGGTTGGGCAGCCTTCGCTCCATTGGCTCTTGACTACCTTGAGATCCTTCTGCTGCTGCTGCTGCTGCTTCGGCTGCTGCTGCTGCTGCTGCTGCTGCTTCGCCGTGGGTCTGCCGAGGAGCTGCTGTAGCTTTTCGCGCACCTGCTCATTCGTGGGCTGGTAGCCCATCTCATCGACCCTTCTTGATCAACTCTCTGACATCTTCCAGCAGCTTGGGACCCCGATGCTGCGTGGACTGCTGACGCCTGGTCTGGAAGCCATCTCCCACACTCCCCGCGAGAGCTCGAAGTGACTCTTGCATCTTCTGCATTTCGCTGGCAAGATCACGTCGTCTCCCCTTCACCTTCGATCCTTGCAGGATCTTTTTTCTCACCTCCTCCCTCCAGTGGGTCCTCGATGGAGTCCTCAGAGAGGTAGGTGAGGTCGCAGTAGGCCTTGGGCTCTGCAAAATTGTTGACTCCCCGATGTCCCCGACGGAGCAGTCTGTCTGTGAGCTCTCCTTGCAGCACGCCGCCCTGAGAACTCTGCATACCAGTCCGAGTATACCCCACAGTACGACGTTCACCCAGATCTGCATCGAGCAAGGGGCTCGACCCACGCATCCCACGAGGAGGGTCTGGGTATTGTGCGTGATGATTGTGATGCTGATGATGCTGCTGGTTATGATGCTGCTGATAAAGATGAATATGCTGCTGATGATGGTGATGACGGTGATGATGATGCTGATGATGCTGGTGATGCTGATGATGAGGCAGAGGAGGAGGATAAAAAGGAGGAGGAGGAGGAGACGGAGGAGGAGGCCGAGGAGGAAGAGGAGGAGGAGAAGGAGGAGGTGGAGCAGGAGGAGGACGAGGAGGAGAAGGAGGAGGAGGAGGAAAACGAGGAGGAGGTGGAGGAGGCGGAGGAGGAGGAGGAGGATGAGGAGGAGGAGGAAAAGGAGGAGAAGGAAATGGAGGAGGAGGCGGATGAGGATGAGGAGTAGGACGAGGAGGTGGAGGAGATACGTGGGCCCTCGCTTGTTTCCCGCCTCGTGCTCTGCATCCCCGCCACTCCCTCCTGGATGCCGGGCTTGCGCGGGTCCACGCGCGCCCGAGCCCCGAGCTCCTCGGCCGACCGAATGCCGTGGTGTACGTGTATATGGAACTCCTGCCAGTGCCACCATGAACCTGCTCCTCCTCCTCCTGCCTCGCGCCGGGGGACTCCTTCGGCAGACGCGTCGACAAGGCGGGTTGACAATGGTATGGGAGCGCCAGCCGACGACGACGACAACGATCTGCCCCCGTGGGACAGGGCGGTGGAATCCTGCCTCGCGCGCCGCCGCAGATCTTGATGTGCACCTTGTTGAAGCTGTTTGCCGCGTGCGGCCAGTACATGATCGGCTACACTATGGGTTGGTCGGTGAAGGTCCAGCAGCTCGTGGGCGTGGACAAG